AATAATATATTCTTTAATTTCTATAATCTTATGGAATTACCTGAGATATTCAATATTTAAGTTACACTGTAATACTTTAAAACAAAATTGTGATACTATATATTTTGTTTGTTCTGCAGCCAAATAAAATATATGGTACTATATAATCATATAATTATTCTGTAACTCAGATCTTTCCATAATTAAATTTCATAATTCTCTGTAACTTAACTTACAGACAATGATTAATTACTTGTTGAGGGCTAGTTACTTAAGTCTGCCCTCAGTAGCTGTCTGGGGGCGCTTCCGAAATCCAAGCGGACCTTTGGTCCGTTATCTGACGCTAGACGTCCTCTCGCTCTGTATGAGGACCTCCAGCCTCAGATTTTCCCCATAAGAAAGCAATGAATAATGCTTTACTATGGGAAGGTCTAATGCGTATTAGGTCTCCCACGCTGGCTGACGGCGGTGGAGGAACGTGGGCGGAGTCTGACCCAGCATCTAGGGATATCATCCCTGGATTTAGGTAAGTGGCTGAAGGAGGCGGGGAAGGAGGGGGTCCTATTAACCCTATAGTGCCAGGAAAACGGCTTTGTTTTCCTGGCACTATAGGATCCCTTTAACCCTTAAGGACACATGACATGTGTGACATGTCATGATTCCCTTTTATTGAAGAAGTTTGGTCCTTAAGGGGTTAAGTGATTAATGTAGAAATTGCATATTTGTTGGTTTAACCAAATTGATTTATTTGCTGTATTGCCATTTTTCCATTATGTTTGCATTGCATTTTATTCCTGCATGATCAATTATTTTATGTCCCAATAAATATACAATTATTGGTAACCTGTTGTGATATTTATTGGTAAATCAGAAATTATCTTTGAACAACACATTTTATGGTCTGGACTGAAAGGGTAGGCACTCCTTGCTTAAAATACAATAATACACTGTAATATGTCCATTTAAATGATATATATATTACAATTCGGGTACATTGTCATTATTATTACAGTGCCATAATATCAAATTTTTGGTATTCTAAAATTATTCAAGTTTTAATAATTGTATAAATGATTATAGCAATACTTTTGCCCCATAAATAACCCTACAACAGATGCATCAATATAAATGGCTGATAGTGAAGCATGCAGCTCATTTTATGTTACACAAAAAAAAAAAAAAAATCCTTTCCCATTTCATTAATTACAAATACTTCTGTTTTAACCCCTTAACAACAGAGCAAATTGTGAAAGTTCTGATCAAAACAAAACCTAGAATTTGAGCTATACCTGTTCAACCATAATTTCGCATTTTCATATTAAGCACACCCATGCTTACTATTACGGATGAATCAAAATTCCGGTCCAAATTTTTGGGCCTATCCCGTTTCGGACGAAAACGGGTCAAATTTGCCAAAATAAATAAATAAAAATATATATTTTTTTTGTAGTGCCTAATTTAACAGACATGCTTGCATTAACAATTCAGATGGGACAGGGGACGGGGGAAAGAACACTATGGGACAGGGGAGGGGGGAAAGAACACTATGGGACAAGGGAGGGGGGAAAAGAACACTATGGGACATGGGAGGGGGGAAAGAACACTATGGGACAGGGGAGGGGGGAAAGAACACTATGGGACAGGGGAGGGGGGAAAGAACACTATGGGACAGGGGATGGGGGAAAAGAAAACTATGGGACAGGGATGGGGGAAAAGAACACTATGGGACAGGGGTCTCTTTTCTAGTAGCCACTTGGTCACAAACACAGGCCAAAGTTAATGTTAATATTTGTTTGTGTGTGAAAAAAGCAAAAAACTCATTTGAACGCCAATTTTGGCCAGTGTTTGTGACTAAGTGGCTACTACAAAAGACTGAACATACCTCATTTGCAATACCTTGGGTTGTCTACTTTTGCAAATGGTATGCCATCATGGGGGTAATTCTTATTCCTGGGCTACCATACGGTCTCAAAGGCAACGTAACCAATCTGACGAATTTCAATGTGAAGAAACTGAAACGCAAGGCTTATATTTGACTCTGTAACTTTTGAAAACACCATACCAAACCTGTACATGAGGGGTACTGTTATACTCAGGAGACTTTGCTGAACACAAATATGTGTGTTTCAAAACAGTAAAAAGTATTACAGCAAAAATATTGTCAGTGTAAGTGCCGTTTGTGTGTGAAAAATGCAAAAAACACCACATTCACTGACAAGATCATCGTTGTAATACATTTTACGGTTTTGAAACACAAATATTTGTGTTCAGCGATGTCTCCCGAGTAAAACAGTACCCCCCATGTACAGGTTTTATGGTGTCTTGGAAAGTTATAGGGTTACATATAGTGCTAACAAATTAAATTCCCTATATTTTCAGCATGGGTCGTCAAGCAGGTCCAGCAAATTGTAATTAATAAAAGGACCTAATTATGTAAAATGATTACATATATATATGTAAAATTATTATATATATATATAATTTTTTATTTATATATAGATATCCATATAGTGATTTATACGTATATACTTATGTATATAGATATATAAATATTATTTTGTTCTACAAGTATTTTGATATCTATATATATATCTATATATATATATATATATATATATATATATATATATATATATATATAAATAACGAAATGACACTGGTCTATATATATTTATTTTTAAACGTATTTACATATTTTTTTTAATTATATATATAATAAATCAATATTATTTATGTGTATTTTGATATTATATATATATATATATATATATATATATATATATATATATATATATATATATATATACACACATATTCATTCTGCCATTTAATTGCTGGGTGGTTTCCCTAATGTTGCATCCGAGGTGGCATTTGGTGCATTAAATCAAGTATACCACATTGCTGGATATGCAGGAGTATGAACCTTTAATGCTGGAGGTTTTATTGTTGTGTGTGGCTGTGTTGTTTATGCATATGTGCGGACACAGTTTGCCGCAATGTTATTTTGTATTGACTGGTCCCAATTTCTTTATTCTTCCCATCAGTGGGTAGCTTCCTGTTGATCCTCTGTTAACATTGGTTGGAGGTATTGCTTCGGTGCATAGTACATTTACTGGCACAGCAGCGTGTTGACCAAATGCAGCATATATAATTTGCATTACAACATATACATTTATACATCGCTAGTCTTTGTAGTCAGCTTCCTGGTGGCTGATCATCGGTGCCATGTTATATTTTTATTGTATGTTAGCTTGCCTTAGGTATTTCTCAACATCGTGCATTGGTCATCTGTAAGTCTTAGGTTGATGAACAAGCATAGCATATAACTCGTTCCTTTCATGCATCCGGGTACAGAAAGGAAAAGGTTTAAGGGAAACATTCATTACTTTTAACTTTAGAACTGCGTACCTGCGTAACATGGGCAATTGCGTCTTGTGCACTTGACCTTGTGTTCACTTTTGAGTCCACATGAACCCCCCACCCTGTGGTCCCCCGCCCTGTCTAGACTCCTTGACCTCGGGTCACTCGTATTGTCACTCAGTTGTATTGTCTAACCCTTCTGCCCTGTCCCCCACTCGAAAGCTCTGCCAACCGCCCCATTAGGTAGAATGTTGCTCAGGTGTCCTCTGCTCGTAGAGGCATATGCCTTCCACCCTATTTGCTAACTCCTCTGAGGTTGGAGGTGTATCGCTTTTCCAATGCGAGGCTATCGCAATTTTGTCTTTTGTTAATATGTTCAGGGCAATTATGGTTGTGGGATGTCTGGACGGGCTGGTTACCGGTAGCATATGGAGCAGGTAGTGTTCGGGAGACTGTGGTAGTGTCATGCTAGTGGCTGCGTGCATGAGCGTTTGTATGGAAGTCCAGAACGGAGTTATGATTGGGCATTCCCAGAATACGTGCATCAGCGGCCCGGATTGTTTTTGCATCTCCAGCATAACTGGGAAATGGTGGGGAAGATCCTAGACAGTCTTAGGGGGACAAGGTACCAGCGCGATTTTACAATATATTTCCCATAGGGACAGACTCTTGGAAGCTCGTTTAGTGATATGAAAGACTGCATGCCATTGTTGTATGGTAAACGTGCTCCCTATGTCTTCTTCCCATTTCCACATGTAAGGGAGTTTGTGTGTATCCATCCCGCTCCCTAGTGCGTGGTAACATAGGGATAGGGGGTTTGATGGAACGGGATGAGAGAATGTACCGGGAGTGCAGGTGGTGTTTCTAACTGTTGTGTGTGCACTTCGGGATTGGTGTGCCTGCAGTATGTTCTTGACCCTTAGGTACATGAATATGTCCCTGGAAGCTAGAGAGAACTCGCTTTGCAAAGTTGGGAATGCTTTTAAACTATCTTGGTCGTATAGGACTTGTATTTTGTGAATCCCTAGAGCTGACCATGCATGGAGCTTCAGATTAGGTGAGCTGGCCTGCAGCGCTATGAGGGGGGCCTCTTTAAGCAATGCTTTTGCATCGATCACCATTGAAGCCCACGTCTTCCAGGTGGCTAGGGTGGTCATTGGTTGGAGGTCTTTAATGATTTTCCGTATTTCCACAAGAGTTGGGTTGTAGGTGACTACAAGTGGCACTCGTGTAGATATTTTTTTTCTCTCTGTACTGTAGCAGGCTGTAGATGATGCCCTGGTATGCAATGGGGGGGGCAAACTGGAACTGTGAAGGTAACTGCACCTGTCCATGGGTTTTCTGTAAACTGAGGTGTGGATTGTGCCATTGTTAAATGTCACAGTGGTGTCCAGAAAATTCACAGATCTAGTGGAATATTCAATTTTTAGTTTGATGGATGGAATGTGTTAAAAGAGTCATGGAACTGTATCAGTTTTTCTTCACTTTCAGTCCAAGTTATGAAGATCATATAATCGATATAGCGATAATATTTTTATGGTTTGGTGTGCTGTATTTCTAGGAATCTCTGTTCAAGATCTGCCATAAACAGATTAGCATATTGGGGTGCCATCTTAGTGCCCATAGTTTGTAGGTAAACCTCATTGTTTAAACTGATATAATTATGTGCGAGGATGAATAGGGCCAGTTCTTTGATAATTCGGGGGCTGTATTTTTGGTTGTTGGCATAAGAGAGGAAATGGAAGCAAACATTGATGCCATCTGTATGTGGAATGTTGCTGTACAGGGATTCCACATTGGTGACTAGAGGTTTTAGGGTATTTTCTACCAGTCCTGAGATCCGTTCTGTGAGTTCCCATTCCTGTAATTATGGGAAGCATATAGAAGGTGCCCATGTAGGGACTACTTGGCATGAGTGATTGCAGTTCTAGATGCAAATTCTCAGGAAAGGATTTAATGAAAGGATTTTTCCTTGGTGAGGTCTTCATATTTCGATAGTATTTGTCACCTGACAATTGCCTGTCCCCCTCTTTTATGTAGTCCTGGGTGTTCATTATCACTACTGCTCCTCCCTTGTCTGCTGGTTTGATGGCAACAGCATGATTACTTTTCAAGTCATTTATAGCCATTTGTTCCTGTAGTGAGATATTATGAAACATTTTCTTTTGGTTTTGCTTGGTTGTCAAGTATACGGTTCTTAGACGGAAACTTTCAATGTAACTGTCCAGTTTGGCATTTCGTCCTGGTGCTGGAGTGAAATTAGTGTTCTTTTTCCTGTTGTTGTAATCCATTGTGGTTTCAGTGCCCTTTTTGGGCACTACTATTCCTTAAGTCTATTGATCTGGTGCAGCGTGCCTGTTCCTGTGCTGCTAGGATTAGTGCCTCAGTGATGTCTTTCAGTCCTGCCTTTTCCAACCACTAGTAGGATTTTGTCATGTGAGCCACATCCAGTATCTGCCAGTGGTACAACCCATGGAGGGGTTTATCTTGCCAAGGAAATTCCTCATATTTCTGCATCCTCTAGAATCCACACCCCAAGATGACATAACAGATATAAGGGAAATGATCCTAGAAAAACTAGCAGTCGTTGTCCAGCGGACAAGACTACCGAAGATCACTGAAAAACTACCACCAGACAGCATGCTAGCTGTAGTCAATGAAGCATTGTCCACAATCCCAGCCTGCACCATCAAAGAGACCAACAGGCTATATGCCACATTAGTGATCCTTCAGCTACTTGATTGAGGAATACGATTTTCTGCTTAATTTTAAGCAATGTCATATCTGCTTTGAGAAAAGTGAGCTGTAATAGGAACATGTGTAAGTTCTTTATTTCTTATCCAAAATTAATCAGGCACAGAAAAAAGCAATTCCCACTATGGATGGAGACTACGATTGGAAGCCAAGATAAAGACAACACGGAAAGAAGTTAGTAAGCTTGATCAACTTAACAGAGGTGGGAAGATCAAAAATAGATCCTGCCTGCTGCCGAAGTACAAGGATACGCCCATACCAGAGGCGAAGGAAGCAGCTAAGCAAAGACTGACAGCACTGGCAACCAGACTGAACAAATATACCAGAGAATCAATGCCCTCTTTACCAAACAACCATCCAAGGTGCGTGCACAGCTACAGGGTAACCACCACATCTCCACGCAAGACCCACCCAGAGCTGAGACTAAACAGTACTGGAAGAATATCTGGGAGAAAGAAGCATCTCATAACACCAAGGACTACTGGACCTGAAAAAAGACCACTGCATGCTGACAGAACAGGAACCAGTCATCATCACAGTTGAAGATATCCAACAGAGAGCAGCATACATGAAGAGTTGGTCAGCCCCAGGACCTGACATGATCCACAACTACTGGATAAAGAAGTTAACATCGCTGCATGAACGCCTAGCAGCACAAATGAACCAGCTACTAGCAAAAGGCTCCCACCCTGACTGGCTAACATAAGGCAGAACAATAATGATCATGAAGGACACAAGTGAGCAATACCATCCAACTACTGACCAATAACCTGCCTCCCCACAACATGGAAACTCCCATCAGGCATCGTAGATAAGGGTCCATATGAGTCAATATATGAGTAATACTCAGAAGGGGGTAGGAAACAACACCAAAGAATCAAAACACTAACTACTGGTAGACCAAGCAGTTACAAGGGATTCTAAGACCAGACAGACCAATCTGTGCACGGTCTTCCCCCAGAGAAGACTAACCAGGTATCAGACTTCCAATCTGTCTGTGCCTGAGTTAGTCTGGCAACCTGTGCCAAAACTTCCTGCCATTCTTGTAGTCTCCCTCCTAGCATTCGTGTCAGGCAGGGAGTTCAATAACCCCACTCCCGGCAAAAAAAGCTGCTGCTGGAAAGGGAGGCAGACACTCTCCCCTCCCAGGCTGCCAGTGAGAGGGAGACAGACATCTACGCTCAAGATAACTCAGGCTGACGGGTGGGGGAGGGAGACAGCTAGACCAGCTGTCACTGAGTAGGGAGGCCGACACTTTCCACTACCAGTATAAAAAACTGCCGCTGGGGAGGGAGGCCAACACTTTCCACTACCAGTATAACAAACTGCCGCTGGGGAGGGAGGCTTATACTCTCACTGCATGACAAACTGCTGCTGGGCAAGTGGACAGCCTGTCTCTGCTCCCTGTAGCTCCGTCTGCCCCTGGGGAGGGAGGTCGATACTTTCCTCTTCCATGTTTGTACCATCTAGCAAATGATCCGTTTTGAGGGCCAGCTGCTGAACCCAGGTGAACAGTTGTCGTTAGTCCTGCTCCAGCTCCCACGCCAGAAAAAGCCAAAAATCAGATCTGGTGCGAGCCCCATCCAGTAAGTCTTCCCGATCATTCCGGATGTTCCAAAAGCGAGAACCCTCCTGGTTTCCGAATTTGATTTTGTCCTCAAAAGACTCCCACAGAAGACCAGGATGATTAAAACATAAGAGTAATCTGAGGAACTACATAAAGTGTCCGTCTTCAGCCCCTTGTGATGGTGACTACCGTCACATAAATCATTGCAGGACTAAGACTGTCTATGATTGACAGCCACTAGAGAGACTTCCTAGATGCCTTTTGTCAACTTTGACAAGCATTTGATTGATGTAATAAAATAATTTTAACCTTTAGGATATGCTCATTTATTTTTTAATTTGGGGAGAGAGGGTAGATGACAGCCATTTTAAACAAATTGTTCTGGTGCACAGAGCAATAAATTAAAGGAGCTATATTCCACTAGCGGAGTCCAATTGTTGGTTAATTAAAATTCCTTCAACTTATTGTTGTTCATGTGACCATCACTCGTATTCCTAATATCGTTCAGAATAAATGACAACCACTAGATTGAACCGATTCGAAGATCTTTATGTTCAATGTCAACGCCACTAGTGCACTGGATTTAAACGAGCGTTCTAGCGTTAATACAAAACTGCATTCTTAATGTTATAATGTTTGCCCCCACACCAGCATGAAAGGGTTAAAAAAAATGTTTTAACCCCACTCACCTTAACTCCAGTGCCAAGTGACCTCCTCCTCCTGTGACGTTACACTGATGGAGCAACGAATGCACCCTCCGAGTCAGGGTCAGACCAGCAACAGCAAATTTCGATGTCCCAGCGCACGTGATCGCTGTGACAGCCAGTTACAGTGGTCACAATGCTGCTGGGCTATCAGATCCGCCTTCCTCCAACCTTGTGGGTTTCTGAAGTGGAGAGACGGACCCTAATTACTTTGGGTCCCTGAAGACCCAAAGAAAAGGTTCCAAATCCCCTTTACCCTTCTTTTAAAAAAAATGTATCCTTTCCCTGCTTATTGAACACTGCCAACTCAGGGGACAGGGACTATGTGCCAGATACTGCAGACCATCAGGAGAAATCGCTGATTCCCCTAATGCTGAACATGGAGCAGATGACTGGATGTCCCCTAATAATTTTTCACCAGACATCCCAGAGTTCTCTGCCAATCCTTGCATACAGGTTGACCTGTCTGGCTAGAATGCGCTAGGTTGTATGCAGCTGCTCTTGGGGGGGGATGAGATTTTTGGGGAGATAGTCACCCAAACTAATCTGTACGCGGAACTGTATCTTGCACGCAATCAAGAGTCTCTTATCGCCAGGAAAGAGAGATGGAACCCAACCAGTGTGCCTGAATTTAAACAATTCTGGGCACTGACAAAGCGAATGGGGATAATTAAAAAGCCCACAATTAGGATGTATTGGTATAAAAATCCTATTTACAATACCACATTTATTTCCAGACAATGAGTAGGGACAGATATGAAGACATACTGCGATTTATGCACTTTACGAAGTGCCCCCCAAAAGGTCATCCACAGTATGATCTATATAAAATACGCCCTCGAATTGCCCACTTTAACGAAAAATTTCCTATTCCACTATTTATACGCCCAAAAAACACATTTCTATTGATGAATCCCTCATGAAGTTTAACCCCTTAGTGACCGCGGACATACAGGGTATGTCAGCCAAAAACAGTCGTTAACGACTACTGACGTACCCTGTACGCCGAAATCGAGGCATCGTGGAATACCCCCCTACACTGCCGGCCACCGAGTGATCGCAACCCCCGGATCGATCACTTACGGGTTTGCCGCACATGGCGCCCGGCAGAGTAGGTAAAAGCATGGGAAGCCTTTAGCAGGCTTCCCATGCTCTTACCTTACTGAGTGCCTAGAGGGGTCGAGGCACTCAGAAAAAAAAAAAAAAAAAGTAAATAAAATAAAAACAAATTAAAAAAATTAACCCCTACTCTCTCCCATGTACTTAACGATCACATCGTTCCCCCGCCGGAAATCGGTCTGCTTCTTAGGGGGGACTCTCTGGACTGAGCCCAGAGAGTCACCCCCTCTCCAATTTAGGACCCTCAGGGCCATGTGACCGCTCTAAAAGTGCTGACAGTAGGGGGACTGCCTGAACTGACAGGCAGTCCTCCTGCTAGTAAAAAAAAAAGTTAATAAAAGTAAAAACATAAATTAAATCAAATTAATACATTTAAAATATATATATATATATATATATATATATATATATATATATATATATATATATATATATATATATAGCGTTTGCCTGAAGTTGTGGGAGGGATTTACTGCAGGAACTCGCACGCCAAAGCTTCGTGAGTATAATCACACGAACGGAACCCATTCGGCAATTCCAACCTAACTAAGTCTATTCAAACACACTTTCGTTTAAACAAACTTTTCGTGCGCTTAAATTATTCGGCAGTATAATAACCAGTCAGTTCGGCTCAATCCACTGTTCGGGAACCGTTTAAGCAGTTTCATTCAAATATCTACTCAGTCATTCACTATATAATGAAAAAATTTGTTTCACGTATGCTGTTCGGTTTTATGTTAAAGCTACCGATTTCTTTCTCTTCTATTTACTCCCTTCCCTTTCTTCCATTATCCACAAATTGGGGCTTCAGCTTGGGTAAAACTGCCCTGCCAAACAGAACTTCACAAATAAATCCTTAAGGGCATCTCAAGTACGTGTTTCAAGTTCACATACAGGTTAGGATAGCGAGCATTTTACTTTTTTTTTTTTTTTCATTTATTTATTTTATTGTGCTAAGTCTTGCATGTATCGTCCCTCACAGTTTAGGTGGCTGGCAGTCAGGGTCTCAGGAGCCCAACAGCGGTAATCTCCTCCCGGCTCCCTTGCCTTAAGTTAGCGGTCCCGCGAGGCCAACACCCATCCTCAATTCGGAGGTTCTACGCTTTTGGGTTATATAGGGATGTAATTTGCTCTTCCTTCCCACACCGTAGAGAAGAGCTGGATCTATATCTGCACAAGCTGGTGGAACTAGCTTACAAATATGGCGGTTACACGTTCTACGACTATCATAAGTCCTTTTCGGACAGATCAGCCGCGCCACTGGCTCAGTACAACACTCCTACTGACTGGAGTCAGTTGGACACAGAATTGTTCTGTAGACATTTTGCGGGGCTTAAAACACCAGCATGTGCAATATGTTCTTCAGCTTCTCATACAGCAAACATTTGTCCTAGTAATATAGATGGTCCGTCTACTAGTAACATCAATCCAGACTATCCTGCTAACACAAATCAGAGGGAAATGAAAGACAAGTTAGGGAGGCCTATAGTGTTTCTTGGGAAAGCACAAGTTTGGAATAACTTCAATGCGGGGGGGGGGGGGGATGTAGTTATAACGCTTGTAGACTGCTCCACGTTTGCTCAATCTGTTTCAGAGCACACGCAAAAACTATGTGTCCAAACAAACTGTTCCCTAAGAAAGCAATGACCCCAATAAACGTACCCAATTTACAACGTTACTTGACTGAATATCCTTCTTCACAACTGGTTGACTTTCTCATCTCTGGTTTCACTAGAGGCTTTCATACAGGTTTAGTAGCACTCCCTTCAGGCATACTATAATGCCCCAACCTACAGTCTGCAAGAACAGATCCAGCCAGTCTAAAAGATCTTCTCAACAAAGAAGTAGAATATGGTTTTATGATAGGACCCGTCACCACACCACCATTCACTTCTTGGAGAACAAGCCCACTAGGTATAGCCACGGGCAAATTTAATAACAAAAAGAGGTTAATAAATCGATTTCTCAGCACCTCACTCTTCCACCTACCCAATTTTAAATTCCCTTATACCTTCAGAAGACTTCTCACTACAATATGCTAAAATAGACGATGCCATACAACCGGATATCACAAACTTTCAAACTTCTACCAATTAAGCAGTCACTCTGGCATCTACATGGTGTTAAGTGGGAAGATAAATACTATTTTACAACTAGACTGACCTTCGGCTCCAAAAGTAGCCCAAAATTCTTCAACACATTCGCAGAAACCTTGAATTGGCTACTACTTAACAAGTCCAGGTGCCCAGTAGTAATCCTCTAACTCGATGATTTTCTTTATGTTGAGCCTCACCACTACACACCAAGCAGTCTAAAAAAATGCACTCTCCCTATTTAAGGAATTAGGAGTCCCGGCAGCACCAAATAAGACAGAAGGTCCCAGTACAGAAATAACTTTCCTAGGTATCACACTCAATTCTGTAACTATGCAAGCTAGCCTTCCTCAAACCAAAGTAGACAGGATCCTAACTCACATTCACACATGCACCAATCACGGGTCATGCACCAGGAAAGAATTACAGTCACTTTTGGGTTCTCTTAACTTCGCCATGACAATTAACCCTCAAGGCAGGGCTTTCATCTCTAGGTTACTTTCTCTTCTGCACAGCCTCCATGACGACGACACTAAGATCAATCTAGACGATCTTGCAAGAGCTGACCTAAAAATGTGGAGTCTATTTTGATCCTCATGGAATGGAAGGTCATTGTTCATTCCCCCCATCTCTGACGAATCCCCGGTTATATGGACAGACGCTTCAGCTACCGTCGGGTACGTTGCGATATTCGGGGACGAATGGGTCTATGACAGTTGGCCACCTGAAACAGCTACACTAGAAAACTTTGACAAAACCTCAGCATTGTTCGAGATCTTCCCAACAGTGGCAGCAGCTCACATTTGGGGAGTAAATTGGAGGGGTAAAGCAGTTAGGTGTTATTCTGACAACATAGCAGCTTCTAACATAATTAACAAAGGCCGCTCTCAATCCCTGTCAATTATGAATCTAGTAAGGAAACTTACATGGTTGGCAGCAAATTTGCAGTTTTACATTTGTTGTATTCATGTTCCAGGCATTTTCAATAATGCAGCTGACGCTTTGTCACATTTTAATTTACAGGAATTTTTCAGACTGCACCCCAAAACTCCTCTGCAATTCAAAGACCCAATCATGCATTAAAACAGTTATTAGCTCACAGTAGAATTCTCACACAGGCAGGTTTGTCAGTAAACACAAAAAATGCGTACAGTAGGGCATTTGACATGTTCGAAAAATGTGTTCGTGACTTTAACATAATAAATCATTTTTCTGTAGAAACCATGGTTGCATTTACAACTTTTTGCCTTCTCTCGTTAAAACTAGCCTACAATACCATCAAACTATACTTGACGGGGATACAACATTTCATGCTAACTCTTTATCCAAACAAGACTCCTTTCTTATCCACATACCCAACAAAAAACATACTAAAAGGTATCCAGAGACTAAAAATCCAAAAGTCCCTCAAATGACTGCCCAAAAGACAGCAACATCTTTAAAGAAATCTCAAAGTTATTAGATAAAAGTCCTTTTGAATATACCACTAACCTGGTAATTAAATCAGCGGCTTATTTGGCCTTTTTCGGGTTTCAAAGACCCAAAGAATTTTTGGTAGAGAAAATATCTGACATGGACACTTGTCTTAAACTGAGAAACTTAACCAAAGTAAACGATCATAACGTTCTATCAATCCCCCGCACACAAAAAAACCAAGCAAGCCCCCCAGTGGAGATTAAGTATTTCCCTACCAGTTCTAAATGGTGCCCAGTTCAAGTGCTAGATAATTTGATTAAAAAAAAAAATCAGAAAATTAGAAATCCAGAACTGCCTTTGTTGTCCCTACAAGGAAAGCCACTTACTACTAAACAGTTCATGCTATACATACATTCTTTATTACTCAGACTTGGCCCTCAATCCAAATTCCTTCTCAGGACACTCATTCCGTATTGGGGCTGCCACTGCAGCCTCAAGTAGTCAGGTTCCAACACATATCATTAAGAAAATGGGTCGCTGGAAATTTTCTGCATACAACTGGTACATTCCAATCCCAGAGAAAGAAATCAGACTCGCTTTCTATAATATGTCTAAATAATATTGTTGTTGTAATTATTAAACATGTTTACATACTTTTTGGCCCTCTTTTTACAGGCCTAACCTCTCGTCCGTTTCGGCACACCTCAACTGACTTATTTATCAAAACTACACTCACTCTAAGTGTATGCCCCCTTTCATAATCCCGTACACAAATAGAAGGTGTATGCCTGAAGTTGTGGGAGGGATTTAAGGCCTATATAACCCAGTAAACCCCTTGCTTACCTGTCTTTGTCGATTCCAGAAATTCCCTCCCACCACAATCTCTTTTCATATCAATATCCGGGTGGGCCCTCTTTTTACCGGCCTAACCTCTCGTCGGTTTCGGCACACCTCAACCGACTCTAATTTATCAAAACTACACTCACTCTAAGTGTATGCCCCCTTTTATAATCCTGTACATACGTATATATATATATGGCAAACCCTGCCACTGGAACTAATCATTTCATGTGAATAAGTGACTTTCACCAAGGGAATAACTACCCGAATGGACTTTCCTGTTGTATTACTGTTTTTAGGCGAATGGCCGAAACTACCGAACGGGGGACTACCCCGGGGTGGTCGTGTGTTTCCAATTAGGCAGAACGATACAATGTTGCGAGGGGATTAAGTGTCTGTATGTGTGGCCGCCATTTCGCCTACCGAACACGTGGCGGCAGCCATCTTACGCACGAACAGCGGTACTTGGTTGTCGAACGTCTGGAACTCAAACCGGGCATTCGACTAACCAAGTACCGCTGAGACCTCCAGCATGCTCCGACAGCACGAATCAAACACACGAACGCCCCGGCGTTCGGTAGATAGATTCCCCTAAACGAGGGGATTCATACGAAGGCTTGTAATCGCATGGATGGCTAGGCTGTTCGGTATTTTTAATTCAATGAAATAGACCGACCGCAGGGACAGAATTCATGGAACTGTTTTCGGCTACTGAGTTCCTGAGGTCGGTCAAAACTTTAACTGTCTATAACTCCCGAACCCCTGGTCCGATCTGGGTGAATTTCGACTATGTTGCTCACCCAGATCGGATCTACCAGGGGACCCCTTATTTGTCCCTGTGCCCCCTGTATTTAGGGGACATCCAGAAAGTGGGGAAAACTCTGTCCCCACTAATCTGTTTAAGAGCTAATCTAAGGGGAGGAGAGGGAGGGGAGGTGACCGGGTTGCAATTGGCTACTGTACTAATTATGAAAGTTACCTCCCTTGCATGGGAGAAATGCATAAAAGCAGACCTGTGAATAAAGCTGACAGTTGACTCCCAGACTGTGTCGTCTAGTCCTTGGGGAGGTGGATTATGCTGTGTTCCTGTGATTTTGTATGCTGAATCTTTGTTCCCAGCGGAGAGCCATTGGATTAACCCCTGCTCATCCGCTACAATATATATACACACACACACATATCTATATGTAATGTGTGTATATATATATATATATATATATATATATATATATATATATATATATATATATATATATATATCTTATCAATAACGTCATACAAAGTGTATTTTTTTATTAATATATACATATATTAATATAAAAATACACTTAAAATTAGACATATATATATATAATACTATATATATTATACAATTAAATAATTAATTTAAAAAAAATAAACTATATATATATATATATATATATATATATATATATATATATATATATATATATATATATATATATATATATACACATATACACACACACACACACACAATTTCATTCTATGTATATCTCCTTAACGACCATGGACATACGGAGTATGTCCGACAAAAAACAGTTGTTATGGACCGCAGACGTACCCAGTAGGGGGCTGCGTCACATACAGATGAGCGACTAAACTACTAAATATGATATTAACAAGCAAAGGTATGTGAGCGCTCCAAATGATAAATCATGACCACTTGAACACTGTACTCCAAAACAGCAGCTGCTGAGCACAACTAATATAGATCAAATAAATAACTCTGGGGTAGTTTAGATTAATGTATCTATATATACAAAATGTATTTATTAAACATATAAAAACAATATAGTTGTTTTTTTGTTTTTATCTATTTTTTGACAACAGTCATGTGATCTTACCCCAGTTTTCTGCCTCACCGATCCCTAGACATGTTAAGAATTTTGACTTGTCATATTAGATGTAATATCCACTATTCACCATAAATTTATTGATTGTGAGGATAAGACAAAAGATTTATATGAAGATTACAAACCATATACATATGCAACACAATGATATACCGCAAATACATGTAACAGTCCCATTTTTATTTTATTTTTAACTTTTAGAATTTTTGTTTGTCGAGGGCTAATAATGTGTAAATAGTGATTTTTCTCACTCACATACAAAAATTATTTTTTCATTTGATTATTGCTAATTTTGTATGAATGTATATAAAAATATAAAGAATTATATCATATGGGTAATTGTAACCCTAAATCTTCCCAGTCCCACCATCTCTAATTTATGGTAGTTATCTATAACTATGATTTGGATTTATTAAAAAAAAAAACATTCGGTGCATGCAGTTTCGATTCTACATGTTTTGGTTTTTCTTACCTTTTAATATCACTCAATTGAGAGAGCTATACCACTGATTAGATGGCGGCTATTAATTTTATGTTGAATGTATTTTTATGTTTTGTATTATAAGATCTATCTTTTACGATGGAGTAACATTTAGTATTATTTAGGGGTTGTCATTTAGCATTTATTGCATTTTGAATTTGCATTCTAAATTGCACTCATTAGGCTACTTGCCCCATGTAAAATTATCCTCAATTTAAGTATCATGGCCACTTTTTTACATGTAGGGTATATATACCCAGGTTGTGGATAACAGGTCTTAGTCTTGAGAAAGTCCTCCAAGGGGGACGAAACGCGTAGACGATCTGCTTTCCGTCTTCTCTGTATTTCCAGCCCGGTTTCATCTACGGTCCGGGAGTGATTTTCGGCAGCTGCTGTGATCGGACCTGTTTACACATCCTATCTCATGGTACTGTATCCATATTTAATTGATTTCATTTGTTTTTATATGTTTAATAAATACATTTTGTGTATATATATATATATATATATATATATAAATACACACACACACACACATTAATCTAAACTACCTCAGAGTTATTTATCTGATCTATATTAGTTGTGCTCAGCAGCTGCTGTTTTGGAGTACAGTGTTCAAGTGGTCATGATTTATCATTTGGAGCGCTCACATACCTTTGCTTGTTAAATATATATATATATATATATATATATATGCATTATATATGTATAATATATTATAAAATTTATTTTTATTAGAACATATTATACATATATAGGAAATAAAAGTTTATATATATTTGTTTTAGGTGCTCATGATAGTACAGAGTAAAAATACCCTAATGAAATGTAGGATAGTAAAAAGAGCAGGTCGGTTGTGGTGTGCCGGAATCAACGATGAGGTAGGCCTGAGAAAGAAGATGGCTTACCAAGAAAAATAAATGAAAAAGGAAAATAAATGTTATAATGTGGTGTGAGGGTCATTCAACGCTGACCTCGAATGTTAAGGAGCAAGGTAAGGGGTGTTCCTTAAGTAGGCCAGGAGTGGATAACAAGCACCTCCCACAATTACAGGCCAAATTGCCTTAATACTTGTGTTAGGTGCTCATGATAGTACAGAGTAAAAATACCCTAATGAAATGTAGGATAGTAAAAAGAGCAAGTTGGTTGTGGTGTGCCGGAACCGACGATGAGGTAGGCCTGAGAAAGAAGAGGGCAAAATTTAAGTAATCAAATTTATTACAGACAACCAATGCAGATACATATATCAACCAGACATGTTTTTTGAAAGCATCCCTTAATTCTTGTACTGGGTTCGGTATGTACCGTGAGTAAGCGGATGATTTCCAGCGCCCCAGTGTTTTTATAACATGAACTGGAATGTTGACACTGGAGGCTGTGGATGCTGCCCCTATGCGGAAGGAGTGCCCTGAGTAGTTAGCTGGGTTGAGGCCCAGTTGAGTGAGTAAAGACCTGACGTAGGTCATAAAGGTTGTAGTGGTGAGTGTTGTGGAAATGAGATATTAACATAATTTTAGCTAGTAAAATGCCTATTTACTCCATTT